GATTGGAAACACGTCGTTCGGCCAACAAGGTGGGTCGAATCGGACCAGGACTAGCACTGGACATGCCGAGTGATGTTAAGGAACGACGTAAACCTCCGCTGCTTGCAGACAATGTGGCTGGAGTCGATTCACCACCACCGACAAAACACGGTTCATAATACAGCTTGTCCATTGAGGACTGCAATAATAAGGTCTGAGTCAAAGTGCGCTGCGGATCGGATGGGGACGACAGCTGTAGATTAGACATTCCAGTACATGGTGACGGTAGAAATTGATCCCCCGAGGTCCAGGGAAGTGGTGGATTGAGCAAAGAAACTCGACTTCGTTTGCCCTCGCTGGGGCTTCCGGCCATATGCCCACTCATTGGTGAAGATTGGTAAGAGTATGTACCACCAGCAGGACGTACAAACTCACTAGCACTGGTTGCATGCACATCTAAACTCAAATGATTTGGTCGTTCTCGTTTCTTCGTAGCGGTATGTTTAGGGCTAGCAGATGGGATTGGAGATGGGATTCTAACAGGTGGTTTGCCACTTGAGCGGGATGGAATAATGTGACGCGGTTCCGACAATGAAGGTTGTTGAGTCGGAGTGGATTCACCAGATCCAGTGACTGAATGACCAGGTGATGCTGATGGAAACAGTCGACCATTGAGCTCCAGTAATTGACCGAGAAAATTGAAATTTGGAGCAATACTTGATCGCTTGGATCTGACAAACCTGGTGAACGAACAGGAACAAGATATGATTACACACGGAATTGTGATTGACTCAGCCCCAAATAGCGCTAGACTTTTATTCAAACTGTGATAAAAATCGATGATAAAAAACAGCTCAAATTCTCTCTAATTCTTCCGGAACAAAGATTATTCAGCTAAGAACCAACCCTTTCAAATTTAACGAAGAACAGTTTTATTTTGAAAGACTGTGGAAGCGAGTCCCAAAGGAGTTCTACTTCATCAACGAAATGTATGGAGGCAATCCTAAATCCAAGACGAATGTGAGTAAACAGGTTGCAGTGAGTCTCACGGTCACTGGTGATTTTGATTGTCATATACCAAATAACTGGGAATTATTTTTTTGACAATATTCCCAAGGTATTTGTGAGGTCAATCTTTGTCTCAATAAATGAATTTTCAATAAACCGTACACTAGGCACAAAATACCGAGAGAGTAAAATTGTCTGTCAAAACCCGCTGTTGTTCTGGATAGGTGTGCAGCCGAGAGGAGTTCCACTTGACACAGATATTAAGATCGAAATCATGTTGCTTTTTCCCTTTGCGTGTTCAAAGTTTATGTGCATCGATGAAAATCGACAGATTGTGGTTGAAATTGATACTTCACACAAAAACGCCGCTCAGTGTCCGAGAAAATGTGACTCATTCGTTTGTGACAACCTTATTTTCAGATGGGCAATAGATTTTGTTTATCCCGTCAGTGCTCTCATCTATTCGTTAACTGAAGTTGGGTATAAAGAAACATGGTGGACTGTGAGAGTGTAGTGAGTAACAATGATTGTCAGGTACACCTTCATGCTGTGTTTAAATTTAAATTTACTCTCCGCGTATCTCATTCATGACAAAGGTTCAACAACACCTGTCGATTCTAGCGTAGAGCTCAGGACGATCAAAGTACTCGGAACCTATGATACAGTTTGATTAATGACACGTGAATCGTTCGGTTCATTAGGTGAGATCCACCGTCATCAACGCGAATGTTCTCTTGAAGGATAAACTTCGGATAACCATAACATGAAGGATACGCGTCAGATTGGAAGTAATGTGCAAGCGCGTTCAACACTTTCTGACAGCGGTAGAAGGATCAAAAAACTAATTACTCTGCGCAGGTGTGACACGGAAGAGCTCGGTTCGAAAATTTCTTGCAAACATCTGAGAAGTAATACCGAATGAACAAGCGTCAGGTCAATACGAGTTCAATGCACACGATAGCACTTACTCATACGCATCACGCATCTGCATATGGCTCGAATGCATCAGGTAAGCAATAACCACGGCTGGAGACCTGGATATACCAGCTGCACAGTGAACCAAAACGTGTCCTTGATTTGTTTTGGCATTATCTAACGAGAAATGGCGGGAATGTGAAACAATTGAACGAGAGGAAACAATAGGTTTTAAGGGATAACGATTATCAAGCGTAACACTCTCTGGTGATTTGTATTTGAAAATATGCATCTAACTGCATGTATTTACTGCTATAAACGAAGACCAATGAAAGTTGCTAAACTGCAAGCGAGAATTCCTTGAAAACCATTCGCAATTGCATCAGCATCACGTACATCATACATCATCATTATACATCACGTCGCCATGCAGAAAATCCATTTGATATTTCCCCTCGTGAGAGTAACGCGTGATGAAATCGCAGCCGTTGGAGATCGAGTTTATGCTGGGTTAAGCCGATTGGTTTTTGAGGACGCAGAACGCTTACAAAACTTGAAAACATGAAAAAAATCTTTGATGCATGCAAATTTTTTATCAGGCTACTGAACAGTGTATTTTACCGCTTGGGAACTGAGGCTTTTGCCGATATTTATCCCGTATGCAACACATTTGTTACACTTCGAAAGCCACGGTACATTAAACCCATGCTGAACATATCTCAAAGTGCATCCATCAGATAATGTGGTTAATGAAAACCCGAGCAAATAAAACATTGTATAATGGATACGCAGGAAACACGTCTGATGAGCGTTTTGCTTTCTACCAGCCTCGAGAGAAAATATTTGACAGGGTAGGGAACGAAGTCAACTACCTGATGACCACAATTCCCGGAAAAGAAAAATATACTAAGTTAAGATCACCACAGAACAAAATACTCGGTAAAACAGATGGTGTACAAATAACAAGAAATTTTGATTATCACATGAGAGGCAGATGCCAGTTTTTATTGCCCTCAATGATCACGAAAAAAATCCCAAGTATCGGGCGTTCAACTAGTCTTGAGATTTCGTTCTGTCAACGGTTCGGCCGATTTTTATTGGTTGTTTCAAAAAACAATCCACTACAAAGTTTGACGAGATACGCACACGTGATCACGGGTAACAAATGCAACACCACTCACCAATAAACTTGAACGCCTCGTCCAAATAGGGAAGCAGTGACGCAGTGTGGTTGTCTAGAATCGGAATGCGCATGAACTTGTCCGAAGGGACATGCGCTGGGGCCGGACAGTCAACAGATACATTCAACACGTGCGTGAATCCGTGAGATCCGTACAAAGCGGGGTTTAGAGCATCTGCTTCACTGCCGATGGTCACATGCGGTAGTATACAGGACGGATGGGCAGGCACTTCGGGGAATAATGATTCGTGAGGGACTGACCAAGTGGTTATTCCCAGTTGACAGGCACAGCTAGGAAATTAGAAACAAATAGCACCGTTCGTGTTCATTCATGTTGTTAGTTACGTAAACAATAACAAAATGCGCGTTTCCATGATAGAATAACAGTGAATGATTAACGGAAGATGATCTTATGAAATTATGGCTTACGTGACACACCTAAAGCGGACAAACAATCAGTGTCAATTATCGTCAACAAGTTTTGTTAGTCTGCGTGCGACAGGGATCTGAATTCGGTAAAAAAGAGTTTTCCTATTCTCACCCGAAACGAGTACCAACACTCCAGTGTTTGCATAAAAAAGACGAATTAGAGGTATCGTTGACTAAGGAGTGGAAGTATATCAACACGGACATGCTACGTTATCTTTTGCAGAGTATACCGAGTTGTGAAGAAGTTTTGAGACGGAATGGCCAAGGCATTTGCCATTAAACCGGCCTCGATTAGCATCATAACCGTGCAGGCGAAATAAGACGAAGTGAACTTCAGTGATCAGTAACAAGTTCACAATGCGTAAGATGGGAGGTGAGAATGTGTAAGGTGACCACGGATTGGACATGCTTTCGGGGAGAAAGTGAACAGCTACAACCAATACATAGAGTAAACAATTAAACTGTGCATGCACACGTTTTCAGGTATTCTGATCTGATAAGAAGTTACAGCACGAACGCCACGGCTCTCAGTTCGCTATCATGTCCTTCAGTGTCTTCAACTAACCGAAATCTTTTAGACGAGAGAATGGAAGACAGGGAACACCTCTTTTACCTAGTCGACCGAGGCATTTCTTTAGACCTCGTCTCTGTCATTCGTTGACTTTCACGTGGTTTTCTCCGAACCTATTGAGTTGAATTAGATACAACAGCCAATTCTGCCTCGTTACACTCCCAAACACAAGATGAATAAATTCTAGGTCCCCAACGCATTTACTTCATGTAACCTGAGTCAAACTACGTAAGAATCCACTACTGAATACCTCCAGGCGACGGATGTCTTCTACTCACAAATTCAAGGCCTTAAAGCCATAAAGAAAAACTAACCGAACAGCGGTGCAGTATACACAGCTTTTCAACTTCAGTCAAATGTCACGTCGCCATCACAGGTGTTTCAGTCCTGAGAGCTTTAGAGATGCTTGCGATTATCTCCTCTGATGCGTTACCGTCGTTAGTCACGCAAATACCCAAGGACAGGAGCGCTCAACTTCAGCTAATTCCTGACCATTTAGTTTAAGCACAAAACTAATTCACACTAAACCTTCCAGCATCGTTTGCACATTCAAGGAGCAGAGCGAATATCAAACGGAATGGCATAGCTTACCAGCCTGTCAAGTGCGCTTCGAGCATCGTTTCTACATGCGGCTAGACAACCGACTTCGTCAGCGCACTCCAAATGACACAGCTTTTCTCCAACTGCCCATTCAATACCAACATTTTGGCGATCAGTAATTGTGTTCTCCAGTATTTCGTCTACGACGAAATTGAACCAGATTTCCCAACCTTTGTTTAATTCTTTGTCTTCCGTACCCAACCCTATCCCTTTACCCCTTCTTCCGACCCGTGATATTCCCTCAAACAACTTGGTCGTCACTTGCCAAAGGTCTTTGCCAAAAAGCACTGTAACTGGTTTTCCTGTGAATAAATTACAGATTCTGAGGCCTCGTTGACCGCTCATTCTGGGGGCTTTCACCGTGAGGACTCTTATGCAGGTGGGTCAACAGGCGTGTCTAGCGCGTACAATGTAGTCTCTATAAATCGATGTCTGTTGCGTATCGGAGACACGAATTCAGGATCCTAGTATTATAGGCCACCTGAGTGTGCCAGGTCTGTCCTTGAAGTATTTCCTTCGCACATCAGGAGACGACGCATCCCGCTCACTGAGTCAACGTGGTGTAGGTATCGTACTAAACGATAAAGCTGAAGCCTCTATGATAGATACCCGTCAATAGTCGTCTGTGCGCAATGAGGCTACAGCGATCAGTTAGTGTTCGGAAGGGTAGCAACACCAAAAGGTGTTTGTTCATAACTTCCGCGTGTGCACCAAACAACTGCAGTCCCGCTTCACAAGAGGACGAATTTGTCGACAAACTCGCCGATCTGATTCGGTTGAGCTGCAACTCTGATATTATAGTGCTGGCAGGTGATTTTAACTCGCAGGTTGGAAAACTGAGTGCATCCGAAGCCTATTCAGGAGGGCACTTCGCCCTTTCCACCCACCGAACAGACAACGGTGATCGACTACTTCAGTTCTGCGCGGATCACCGGCTGTTCTTATCTAGCACCAACTTTCGACACAGCTCTCGTCGAACGGCTACATGGGGTTCTAGTTCAACGGGCACATTGACCCGAATTGGCCAAGTAGCTGTAGGCTACCGTTGGCGTGGTTTCGGTACAAAATTGCAGATCCTATTGGTCCACCTGCGTTGAGTCGGATAATGCACTAGTTCTGCTACGCCTCGCTCTTCGACTCGTTGGTCATCGGCAGAAATCGCCTCCTTAATTAGCTCACCATCGTCTGCGCGATCCAGCTGTCTGCGCACGTTATGAGGAGAAGCTGGGACAGGAGCTAGGAGAACCGCGACATAGTGGAGTAGCCAACAGTGCAATCAGATTAGATTTGCGATGCACGGGGTTGCAAACTTTGTTTGTGAGACTGATCCCGAAGCTCACCGAAGGCATTGGATCTCTCAGGAGTCAGTAATCCTAATGGATCAAAAGCGATTCTCTTGTTGACTCAATTACTAGCTTACTTCGCAGCATTTGGACGAAGGATCGCATCCCTTTGTCCTGGGGTGAATCGATGATCGTCCCTATTTTTAAGAAGGGAACATGCGACGAGAGCGCTAACCACCGTGGGATTAGTTTAGTTCCGATAATCACAAAATTGTTGGCTTCTGTGATACTTCGCCGCCTGACACCCTTAAGGGAGAGGAATATCCGCGAACAACAAGCCGGATTCCGACCAGATCGCTGGTGCATCGACCAAATCTTAACTCTGCGTCAAGTCCTCGAACTGCGTCACACACATCTTCGGCCAACAATCGCAGTGTTCCTTGACCTAAAAAGGAGCCTTCAATTCAGTTGACCACGAAGCTCTGCTAGGCTCCCTTCTTCGAAAAGGAATGCCCCAGAAGTACGTTAACCTACTGAGGTCACTGTTCTCACAGACCTCCGGTCGTGTAACGAATTATCACAATCTAAGTAGGCCATCCGTCGCCAGCAGCGGCGTCCGTCAAGGATGCCCTCCCGCCTTTCCTGTTCAATTTTGTCGTAGACAAAATACTGGAGAACGCACTTACTGGTCTCCAGAACGTAGGTATTGAATGGGTAGCTGGAGAAAAGCTGTGCAATTTAGAGTACGTTGATGACATCGTATGTTTGATCGAATCTGTGGAGGATGCGCAATGCGCTCTTGACAGACCAGCAAGTTCTGCATCTCCTTTCGGCTTGC